GTCTTGGTGGAGGAGGGGGAGAAGTTTTTCGTCTCTGATTCAGCAGCTGTTCCTGGAAAGTATGATATGGAGAAGGTTCGGGGGAAGCTCTTGATGAAGAGGAAGGACATGAGGATGGGGCTCCAGGAGTGCACGGAGGAGGAGGAGGCGACCCTGGTGGGGCAACTTAAAGAGGTCACTAGAGAGCTCCATAGGCTGCAGCAGAAGGCTCGGGAACTTCGTAGGGAGGAACATCTTGAGGCTCTACATGAGGCGTGGAAAGTTCGGGACTTGCATAAGGTAATGAAATCGGCGAGACTTGCGGCGGGTACTCGGATAGGACCCAAGAAGCGACATTTTCTTGAAGTGCGCACGTCTCTTCCTGACCGACGGGAACAATTAGATTTTTGGTCCGCGAAGGGGACAGAGGGCGGCATGGCAGCCAAGGAGGTCACGCCCGTTTTCGAGCCTCCTGTCTTGGCGCCTGAGTTTCGTACGACCCTAGATGTACTGGACAGGGAGGCCGCCGCAGAGGACGTCGGCAGAGTTTCTCGCTATCTGAGGCGGCGGCAGAAGCGACGCTGTCCTCCACCTTGGTCGGCACCGATTGAGTTGTGGGATATGGCTCTTTCACCTGGGGCGGGGATTAAGGCACAGCAGAGGACTACGGGAGTGGGAGCACCTTCGATAGCAAGACCGACCTTTTTTTTCACTCGAGCGGTGTTTCTAGGCTGCTGGCGCATTCGTACGAGTGGACGAACGCCGGCCTTCTGGCACTGTAGCAAGACGACAGGTTTGAAGAAATCGGAAGTCGAGGGGCCGAAGGGTAAACGTTGGATTCATCTGTTACCTACGTTTGGGAAGGCTTGGCATGGCAGTATGATGAGACGGGAGAGGATGGGGGATGATGTGCATGGGTACGAGAGGGGAAGATTCAAGGAGACACCGATGCTCGTGGCAAGTATTGTGGCCTGGAGGGCCGCGCAGCAGGGGCTATCGGTAGCCCAGCAGTTTTTCGATGCCACCAATGCGTTCGGCAGCATAGCTCAGCATCGACTGCGTGAGGCATGTGCTGCCATGTACGATGCTGACATAGATACGCAGGCCAGGCAACGAGTGGACTGTGCAACGATTGCTGTCGCATGCTCTGATGGGGGACTTCTCCTGGGACCAGAGTGCGGGGGACTGATGGGGGACCCTTTCATGGTGGCCGCATGGGCGAGAGCATACCAGCCATCGATTGCGCAATGGAAATCTTCTCTGGTCGACGAAGGTGTTGACACGGGACAGCTTACCGCGACCAGTCCGATTTTTTCGGGGCCTGTGGATTTGGCAGTGTGTCAGTATGCTGATGATCTTTTAAGATTGCATGTGGCCCTGTCTTCTGATCCATTGGCGGAGCTGGTGGGTAAGGCCAGGAGAACTTCGGCTGCACTTACAGTGGCGCTTTCCGAAGATGGCTGCGCACAGAACGTTTCGAAGCAAGTTTCTTTGCTGCATCTTGTGGGGGAAGGCTCGCATAAAGGGTATTCGGAGGTAAAAAACAAGCGCGTTGTCTTTCCTGGGAAAGTGGTTCAGCAAGCTAGATACCTGGGGGCGCAGTTTGTGGGGGACTCCAGATTGTCTCGAGCGTGTGGGGCGGAACTTACAGCACGGAGAGCAGCTACTATTCGAGCCTTCTACTCCCTTGGGCAGCTCTGGTTTCTTCCCAAAGTACCGTATCGGCTGAGGCGTATGTTACTATTGTCGCATGTGGTGTCTACAGCTACGCACTGCCTGGAGGTTTTTTTTCCCGTCGAAGGCGCAGCTGCGTTCTCTCCAGGCTCTGGTTGACGGGTTCGCAAGAAAGGCTATGAGGGGAAGGGCGCACAAGGAGGAGGAGGGGAAGCACATGTCTCTCTCGAATGAGGAGGTACGCAAGTTTTGGCGGCTCCCATCTTTGGAAGTGGAGCTCCTTGTACGGCGACTACGTAGGCTGCAAGCTATTGCTAGGAAACCCTTCATGCACGCTCAGTGGCTCACGGCCCATTTCGGAAAGTTTCCTTGGGAGTCGGAGCGTACCATGGATCAGCAGGGGCGGCTCCTGGAGGGGGCCAATCCGTGGGCGAAACGTGTTCTGGAGGACCTGGAGGCCATGGAACCCTTGGAGGACGCTCAGAGATTTCTAGAGGTGCTTCGTGAAAAGTACGGCAACGGAGTAGGGTGGATTTTTCTGGATCCTGAGCTTCAGGAAGATTTTACCAAGGTGGATGTTTCGCTGCTGAGGAGCCTGGATGTACAGAAACCAGCATGCAGAAAAAAACACGCAGCATGGCACGGGACCTGAGGACGGGGATGTGCGTTGGAGATGCTTCATGAAGACGGAACAGGGGCAGGGCTGTGAAGCGTCCTTTTCTAAGTATCGACAGTTGTGCACGCGCATCCAGACACATCACAGACGTAAGGATATGTATACTGAGATTGTGGTTACGAACCAATGTCCCTATTGTCGTGAGGTCTTTGGAGATAGGAGTACTGCGTACCGTCATGTGATTTCTAGATTGGCACGGCCTGGAGCGGGTTCTCGCACGCGCTTCCTGGGACAAGTTGTGGAGCCGACTTCATTGCAATGCTCTCTATGTCCGTTTGTTGCTCAAGATCTTTCTCGATTGCATGATCATCTGATTACGCACGTTCCACCTCATACTCATGGAGCTTTCAGAGCCAGCGTGGGCGCTCAAGCGCACGGGAGAGCCGGCCGCAGGAGATCAGCGCCGCCGGCGTCTGATCGAAGAGTCGGGCGGGGGGGGCGGCCGACAGCAACAACTCGAGCGTCTAGTGAAGGTGCTGGCGGCCCTGGCGCTGACGCAGGCGGCCGAGTTGAGGGATCTCATCGCCGCCGTCTATCACACATTTTTGGTGCCAAGCGGTTCGGTCATAGCCAAGGCCATGGTGGCCGCAGGAGTCGACTACCACAAGACCGTCAAGGCCACCAAGAACACGGACCAGAGCACGCTGCTCGGACCGCCGTTTCTTCACGTGTTCAAGGCCATGGTACAGGCAGAGTATGGGGTCGAGGCCATAGGAGAGCAGCATCGGTCGGTGATCAAGAAGTTCTGGGACGACGTAATCATGAAACAATCATTGGAGTCGGTAGCCGAGATGATTCGCCACTGCCGCTGCCGTTCCACGAAGAAGAAGGAGGGCAGCACCGAGCTTGTGAGGGTGACCGTGTGCTTTTCGGTGCAGTGGGAGGAGCTCGAGGCGGCCGTGCTGTGCGCGCTCATGAAGACAGGGGCAGTGCGCAAGGTGGGCCCGCCGCCGCGCGGCCCGCTGGAGCGGGGGGCTGCCAAGCTTCTTGAGGAGCTGCAGTAGGAGCGAGTGCTGGCAGGAGTGAGGATCGCGATTTTTCGTCGTCTGATCTGGATGCCGAAGTTTTGAGGCTGGCTAGGAGGCTTGAAATTTTTTCGGTAAGAATGGCTGAGCTTCTGAGATCTGGCCGATTAGATCCAGGATTGGCGCTCTCTTTCTTGAGGGATCGGGAGGGGTCGTCGGTCGTGTCGCGGGAGAGCGGGGGGGAGCGGAAGAAACCTCGGAAGTAGGTGCGTGCTATCTGGCCCGAGAGTGGGCCTTCCACGGACCTCGGCGCCAGCAGGCCCGATCCCGAATCACGGGACTGTGGCCTGTGCGAGCGCTGTGACGGCTCTCAGTGAGCTACATCGGCAGAGTATTTTGTTGTTCCGTGTCTCTCTTTATAGTCAGAGGGGATGGTGACCCATTGCTGCCAATGATGTCGTATCGTATATCGTATCCTCCTCCTCCTCCTCCTCCTCCTCCTCCTCCTCCTCCTCCTCCTCCTCCTCCTCCTCCTCCTCCCCCTCTGCGTCCCCTCCTCCTCCTTCCTCTTTCCGCCCCCCCTCCCCCCCCTTCCTCCCGTCCCTCCTCTCCGCCGCCCCGCCCGGGAGGCCCTGCTGCAGGAGCTGGACCCCGGACCGCGGCCTCTCGCGGCGGCCTCGGCAGCGCTGGCCGCGTCGTCTCCGTCGCCATCGCTGCGGAGGCTTCTTGCCGCTCCGGGGGGTCCTCGACGCCACGGTTGGGCGCAGCTCGAAACGCTGGTTGGGGGCCCCCAAACTGGGTGGTGACCACACCGTGCGGTGAGTCGGTGGGGATTCGGGGTCACCGCACGGTTTTGGGACTCGGGTCGCTCTCCGAGGACGTCTCGGGCGACTGGGGCATCCGAGGTCCCAAGACCGTGCGCTGACGGACATTGCGGTGAGGTTTTGGGGGATTTCGAGGTCACCGCACGGTCTGTCACCGCACCGTTCTGTGACTCCAAAACTGGTCAGGATGGTGATTATTTTCTTGTGCATTGTTTCGCCGATCGGCGCGGGCCGTCGCACCCCCCCTCTCCCCCCTCCGCTGGGGCAGATCTTGGCTGCTCTTGGCGCCTGTTTCAGGCAGGTGGGGCCTCCCCCACAGGACGCACTGCTGCGAACAGTCGCGTTAAGCAGGGGTCCGGAGCCAGACCCCCCCCTCTTCCGCCCAATGTCGAAGCGCTGGATGAGAAAACGTTCACTTGTGATCGTATTCCCAGAGGTTCGATAAAGCTAGGCCTCCCAGATGGCGTCCGAGTAGATGGGGTCGGTGGATCGCCCCGCATCGCCACACGGCGTTTTGGGCTGCAGTGCCCTGGGCCGGATGCCGTGATGGGAAAATTCCCGTTCGTCATAGTTTTGTTATTTGCGTGCATATCTTTGCCACGCGTTTC